CCTGTCATCAGACATTCTCAAGACATGACCAGTCCACCGTAACTGAGAGTGTATGATAAAAGTCTCGATTCCTCCAATATTACACCTGTTAAACAGGTCTACGTTAGATGTCCTATCTTGAAGCTTAACTCCACAGATTGCACGCAGACAGCTTTTATGGAAAACATCTAGCTGGCGTATATGGTACCTGTATGGAGTCCACGACTCTGAGCCATACAAAAGGATTGCAAGTACAACAGCTCTGTAAACACGAATTTTCGTATCCAGTTGAATACCCCACTCATTCCACAAGCAATGGCGAAGTTTGCCAAAAGCACTGGTAGCCTTAGCAATCCGATGCATGATTTCATCATCTAAATAATTGTAATATATATGTTATACTTATTTTTTAAAAATATGATTCCTTCGCTACATAAGAGTTCTCATGTTTCAAAAACGAGAGCCGAAACCATCAATGTAATTATTAAAATTAAATTGAATTAAAGTAACAGGCCCTGTTTCATCCTCAAGCAAAAATTCAGGAATAACCAATTTTGAAATTTACGTATCGTTATAAAAAGCGTGTTCATTCGTTACTATGGAAACGGCTGGGGCGACCATTTTTAACCACATATCAGTCACCTTCAGGGAGAGGTCAAGCTGAGGTAGGGTAGGGTGTCTATTTCAAAGTCGCTAAGCTCTACTTCTGTAAGGAGCATCTTTTTTTTTTAAATAAAAATAAAAATACTAAAGAAGAACTCTGGATTATTTACCAAACGTGTTCTTTCCTATTTTTCTACATACCTGCACACACACACACACACACACACACATATATATATATATATATATATATATATTGCTGTAAAAACGTTAAGCTGAATATCAACAGCTATAATTTAAAAAAAAATGATGGTTAAAAAAATGAAAGAGGAAAACTAACCCATTTCGCTACAGCTCTTCAAAGTTTTTCATCGAGAAAAAATACAATAAATCTAAATTAGCGAATGATTGATGAACGAATAGAGACGGGAGAAAAAGGGAGAAGTACTAGAGACTAATGATAGCAAGACCCAGCGCACAATCACGCTGTTCACAGAAAGACGGTTTGTGAGATATGATATACAGTGACTCTAATACTTTAAGAGGAAATAAAGAGTGAGACTGGGACAAAACAGTAAACCAGTCAACACTGAATTCAGCCGCACACTTACTGTTCTTTAAAAGGCGCTCAAAAATTGAGGATCCGTAGGTATTTGAGATTAGTTCATTAGTTTCTCTGACGATCGCAAATAGTGTGAAACTCAGGGTCACAAACTCACATCAATCCAACAAAATGTTAGCTCTATCAGGGATATTGAGCGCTTTCCAATAAGTACCGTGTATATATAATATAAAAATAATATAAATAAGAAAATTGCATATATATATATATATATATATATATGAAGAAAGAACAGTAAGACATATAATCCGGTGTTCTTATAGATATTTTTTACAAAAATAGTGTTCAATGTAAATTTACATAGCATTAATATTATAAATTAATTGATTTAAAAGTTTTTTTTTTCGCTACACAGTTCTAACCATGTTAAAAAAATGGAAGCTAAAAGCCCGAATTTAATTTTGTAATTAAATTAAAGACATAGTTCCATTTCATCCTTCAAGCGAATTTTTTGAGGATGAAATGGAACTCATGTCTTTAATTTAATTACAAAAATGAATTCGAAGCTTTTAGCTTCCATTTTTGAAACATGGTTAGAACAGTGTAGCGAAAAATATTTTGAATCAGTTAATTTATGATATATATATATATATATATATATATATATATATATATATATATATGGCACCATGCATCCAGCCGATTTGAAAGATATAATTATAGATATATGATTTGCTTTTTTACGGTTTATCAACCATTTGAGGATTATTTAAGCCCGAAATATTATTTTAGGTTTTAAGAATAATTCTTTCATTTTGCAAGTGGATTGTGGCACCATGCATTCAGGCGATTTGAAAGAAAGAAAAAGAAAACGAAGAAAGGGAAAAGGAAAAAGGTAATGCGGGACGGATCATAGACGAACACACACACACACACACGGCTTAAGAGACGGGAATAAGAAAGAAAAGGGTTATTTTTGATAGGTGTCAAATGTCGAAAAGAGTTTCATTACAATGACAATGAGATTGAGTGGGTGGGGAGGTGTTATCTAAACTATTGGTACGAGAAAACATCTAGGCCACCTGCGAACAAGCATTGACCGATTTCCACTTATGGAATTGTGTTATCAAGATATGTCACAAAAAAAAAGTCCACTTGAAAACGTTAGATTTTGATAATTGACAAAACACAGATGTAGCTTGAAGCCTTAGCTGGGTATGGAAAATTAAAATCCCACCCAAGTAGTTTCACTGGTTAAGTTTTTTTTTCGACAAAACAGACTTTTGCCCTGCGATAATAAAATTTTGTTATCAGACACATGAACCGAAGGAAACTGAAATATTTTTATTTCTGCTTTGGAGACGCCAGACTGGCGGAGAACTTGGAGAAATTTCTTTTCTTAGACCATGTCGGAAAATCCAGCCGTCTAATGCATTACCGATAAACTGCTTGACAAACGCCACGTGTTGAACAAAGAGTTGTCACATTATCCGTTCATGATAACGGCGATTTGAAGGAAAGAAAGAAAAAGAAAGAGGAGAGATCATTAATTTTTCTTTTAGTTAAACAAGGTATATTTCTTTTCCAAAACAAAGCCGCGGGTTGTTCACGCCCGACTAAGACGTCATTGGCCAAGTGGTGATCACATGACGCACGAAGGAGGAGGAAAGATACCCGACCAAGACCTCATTGGCCGAGAGTGGTCACGTGACGCACGAAGAAAACTGTCGACGCCCCTATCCAGAGTGTAAGTATGAGAAGCCGCTACGAAGAAGTGGGGAGGGCAGTTCACGCCCCTCAGAAGCATGGTGAGAAAGTGGGAGTGAGAAAAAAGTTACCAAAAATGGAAAAGTGGAAAATCCCTAACCAGAAATAAAAGAGGTGGATATGTATTTAGAATTATCGAGGAACTCCCGACGCCAACAGACCCACCCCGGTTTTGGTCGGCGTCAATAAAAACGAAGCCCCACCAGACAGAAATCAGTTCGTTCGACACAGGCGGGCAGAAGAGAGTTCGTTTGGCCCTGAGTGCCGAGTTCGTTCGACCCTGACGGGCAGAGTTAGTTCGGCCCTGGCAGCAGAGATGAGTGTCCAGTAGTTCTAGCCTTGACAGCTGAGATGAGTGGCCAGAGAGTTCAGTCCCGGACGGCAGAGATGAGTGCCCAGTAGTTCAGTCGGACCCAGGCGGGCAGAGAAGAGTTCGTTCGACCCAGGCGGGTAGAAGAGAGTTAGTTCAGTCGGACCCAGGCAGGCAGAGAAGTGTTCGTTCGACCCTGGCGGGCAGAAGACAGTTAATTCAGGCCCGGACGGCAGAGATGAGTGCCCAGTGTTGAAGCCGCCACAAGATAGCTGACCAAGATTCACGCAAAATTTTGAACTCTTCTTCAACCAAGAACAATTAGTTTGAAGAACGACTTAGAACCAGACCACAGAAATAAGTTTTTCGACTTTCGTCCAAAGACACACCGAAACACAAATTTCTTAGAGAGCAGACAACTTGAAGCGTTAAAACTTGCCTAGCGAAAGCGACGTGCCACAATCCACAGAACGGGTCAGGAGGTAGATGCAGTCCTATGTATCGAACAACTAGACATAAAAGTTTGTTACCTTTTTCTTTGATACTTTGAACTTTTTGAGTTTTCATTTTCTTTCTTTTATGCATATTTGTGTGTTATCATCCCCGTTGAACTCAATTTGCATTACGGCCCCAACCCCTGTTTGATCTCGTCTGTCTAAGATCAATTCACAACGTGGGTAGGCAGACTGAGATCAGTGCAGTTACTTTGGTAACCAGGCGTTGGAAGCAGGTTGCAGGAATCGGCGAGGCTGATATCAAATCTAACCAGATTCCTACCCGAATCACCAAAGAGTTAGAACGTCACGTTTGGAGCAGCGACACCCGGACGGAGCAGCGAGGAGCGAACAGCTGGCGCCGCGGCGAAGACGTCACAATTGGTGCTGTTTAGGGACGTCACATCTGGTGTCGTGACCGGGATAGGACCTTGAACGGCCACGTCACAACTGGCGCCGTGGTAGATCAGGATAGAACGTCACAGTTGGCGCTGCGACCGGGGACGACGTCACAATATATATAAATATATATATATATATATATATATATATCATATATATATCACATTTTCATATATATATATATATATATGTGTTTGTGTATGTGTGAAATGTGTATGTATATAAATACATATGTTGCATATATTATATATATAATACATATAAAACCAATGCTACATGAATGTAGCAGAAGAAAGATGGCGACATTTTTGCAGGATATTTATAAAAACAGGTGCAATCTGAATGGGAAAAGGGAAAGAGGGGAATGACGTGAATGTAGAGAGTTAAACGAGAGAGAAATAAATACGCTGGCGTTTTAAATAAAATTAGTAGAGACAGAGAAATTTCAGAAAAAGAAACAAGAAGAGAAATAGTGACATATGGACATGGCATTGATCGAGAAAGACGTCGAAATCAAGGGAGAGACATCTAAAAACTCCTGGAGATACATTAACTATTCAAAAAGGAAATAAAACGAACATAAAGACATAATACAGGTTGGGTGGGTAGCTGACATTGGTGATGATACGTATCGATAGAGGGTAAGAAAAGTAAAATAATGGCACTTTGTAAAATTTCATTAGAGGCAGGTATGCATATTCAGAGACGAAAAGGAATTGGAATTGACATCTTTCAGAAAAGAAAAGAGAGAGGATGCAAAAAAGTCTCCCTTTTGATAGACGTTGATACGAAAAAGTACACACCCAAAAACATACATATATATATATATATATATATATATATATATATATATATATATATATATTTTGCGTGTGTGTGTGTG